TTCTGGCAAACGGATACAATTCAGTGTGAAAATTATGACCTAACAATTTGTATGAGAAAACATCAGTTAACCTTCGACTTAACGATAGATTGTATTTGCTGACAAGGTCATTGTATCGACCATAGAATTTGCGAAATGTTGCTTTCAACAGGACTGTTGATATTCTTGTATCATCAACTTACATGTATTTGTCAATAATTTGCCTCGTTTTCGAAATTGTTTGAACGTAGAGCATCTCTTGTGTATGGAATCAACTGGAAGATACAAACTCCATATGCTGTTGATAATGTTATATTGCTACATAAGTAAGGGAAGTTGGCGATAGAAAAGTTGTCATCACGTTTATCATAAAGTTTTTTTGTTTGGTTGCCATTAACGACGTTTTCTAGTAAAATATCCATATATGAAAAAGTTGAGGTAGACTCTGTTGTGTTTTTTATTTCCAGTTCTATGGGATAAGAATGAAAATGAATATGTTGATTGATATAACGTCGTCGATAAATCTAAAGTCGAATTGAAGGCCACTGCAAGATACTTCTCCTTTTCATGTTGAGTTGTTGAATAAATTCTGCTTCATATGATAAAAAAGGTCTGCTAATAAATAGGCACAATTAAAGTATCCATGAGAATTCCAACAGTCATGTTCAAAGACTTGATCCCAAAAAACGCAAAGGTATTGTTTATGAGGATCTTAAGCATCATTTAATATTAACTTCGGAGTACTTGTGTGTAAAAATCAGAATGTTTTTTAACAAAATAATTTTGCAGATGGCCAATGACAAGGTAGGTAAATTTGCGAGTTCCATTTTTATTGAAAAGCAGCTGTCTATGATGTCAAAAAGTTTGGACTTTGATTTACGTGGTTAATGGTTATATAAAGTTTTGAAACGTCGTACGTGTTGATGTTTTTGATTTTGGTAAAATTTTGTGATTTCAAATTTTCTAAATGTTCTTAACTTTTTGTTTTTAAGTATCTACATCTTATTAACACCACTTTTAGAATATGTTGTCGTAAGTACTCATGAAGCGTCTACGTCACTACTGTTAATATTTTGGTTAGGAATAAAGAAAGAGGCCTGGTAGAACATTTATTGGAACCGGCTATGTATCTTTGAAAGGATTTTTATGTAGTTTAGACAGCGGTATAGGTATGGTAATTGAAATTCAATTTGATTGTTGGGAATATAAAAAAAATATTTGAAACTGACAAACGATTTTGGATAAGTTCAGGTTCATCTAAAATAAAATTATAAGTATTATAAAGACAATGTTATTAGCTGCTTTGTCAGCTGAGACCAATATATTGATCGTGTAATCTATCTAATTCTTTTGTTCACTTCTAAATTAATGAAGGCAAAAGGATAATGGTTTTCATATTGCCCCTCAATCGTTTATTGCGAGATTTCAACATCCATTTAATATTCTTATCCATTCTGACAAAGTGCCAAGTCGTCTTATTCATGTTTGGCCCATCACCTGGTGCAATCTTCGACAGAATTCATAATATTTATTAAATTTTCACGCCAGTTGAAATATCAGAATTCCATAAATGTTGGCCCTATTCAAATAAATCGTTTAAGATCCTTAATATTAATTATATTTACGTCACCAGTAATGATGTGTCCAGTAGGACAATATAGTTGTAGGGAAAGAAGAAATGAACAAGCAGGAGAATTGTTTTTCAGATGTTTAAAATCTAGACACTGTATTTTTGTAATTAAAAAGTTTGGAAGCAATAGTCGATGCATATTTGTAAGAAATACAAGGTGTGAACTTCATCCTGAAATGTATTGGAATAGAAGACTGGACCCTTTCGTAATTACGAATATTACTATAATAGTACTAATATTTACTGCGTAATTCCTTTTTAGCAAAGGATAACTGCACTTAATAACATGCAAAAATTGCGACAAAATAAACTTTCAAAACAAGCATTTTTCTTCTAATTGCAGGAATGGTCAACATGTAATCTACAACTTTACGTAATTACATTAAATAAAAATATGTATTTAAGAACTACAAAGCTGTTTTCAAAGGTGGGGGTCATCATAATTTCTAAAATTCCCGTACGATAACGCCCACTTTTTACTGAATTTATATATAGTCAGCGCATGTTTGTCTATTGTTCTCCGTTTAACAGTAGTTGTATATTTGCTTTAATGATGTTGTGTCAAAAGGAGATTGATAGACAAACATGCGCTCAGGATTTAAAAGGGTTTAAAAGAGAAAAAAAAACTGCTTCTTCGCACATTCGCTCTCTCTCTGTTGAAACCAAGGGCTGTGGCATGTTGAATATTATAATTCACCACGTGATTTCTTACCTCAGGTAACTCTGTGAATACTAAATTCCGTCACGTGACTTGTAAGATAGTATGTTTTGTGCTAACTAAGACAATGTTCTCGAACACGTTGATTTGTCAGTCATCGATTCAAATATTTTTTACTTACATGCACGTGCTCCTATTTTTAATTTCATTTTGAAACCTTTGTAACCTTTGTAAATAGTGTACTTGTGTCATACAGGATAAAGAGGGAGATGGGAAAGAGTAATTACGTATTTTAATACATGTTATTTATCTGGTCTAATTTTAGAGTCATTCTTACATGTACATGTATATCTAATGTTTAATCAAGTAAGGTAAGTGTAAATTCTCTATATTTGGAAAACAGTAGGGACAAAGAACATAGAATTATTTTATTGTATCACAGTCTAAAATCATTTTAACATTTAAATTTGGTGCCAAATTGAAAGAATTCCATAGTGAATATACAAAAGTGAAATAAGGTTAAGATATAAAAGCAGCAGAAGACCCAAAACCCAGCGTTAAGTGCAGTTATCCTTTAAGTTAAAGAAACATGCAGGGGCCCGTTTTACAAAAGAACTTACGACTAAGACCAAAAACATTAGCTGATTATAAAATTTTGCAAAATGAATGATTCTGCTTGAAATTCCTAGCGTAGAAATATTTTTCTACTTTCCTTTTAAAAAGATTAAAACATTTTCAATATAATGTAAATTAGAAAGTTATAAGCAAAATTAAATTTTGGTCTAAGTCGTAAGTTCTTTTGTAAAACAGGCCCCCGGGTTACTTGGTAAGTATTCTCTCCCTTAACACGTGGCCTTTTAAAAAGCCTATGATTTGCAATATCCATAATTACAAGTCCGAGCCTGTATTCTGGCGTTGAACAATTCAAATATGGACTTTTTAAAAGTCTTTTCGAATAGACCATTTAAAATTTATAAAGGGACAGAGTAACGTTTGGTGTGAATGTGATGAAATCTAACTGTTTATTTACATAAGATAGTATTAATCAAAAGATACATCGTGTATAATAGGTTTATTATAAAACCATGACTGCGCTCACGCCTCTAAAAAAGTCCCATCATATTCACATTGCTACACTGTGGACTTGAAAGATTCCCAACACTATCGACTTCGTCATTGCTACCATATAGAAAGGTTGTACCTAGTTTCCCAATCCAGAATTCTTTTCGTTGTCTAAGGAGAGGTGTACTCAGTGATGGACTATAAGTATGATGGTAAATCATTCAATATGTGAATACTCTACTGATTCTTTGGAAGTTGCTTACCATTCCTTTTTTGTATGTTCACATTATACATTTTCTACAGATGTGAAGATATACAGATGTACAGATATTCAAGCTATACATATACACATAGAATAATTGATTGTGATCATATTTATATCTAAACTTACATTTTTAGTATAATGTAGTTCTGGGCACAGGCTCGATATTAATATTTAATTATTAAAGCATTACATGCATTTATACCAGCAACAAAACTGACAAAATTGTTTAAGCTATGAAAGCTGTTCTCTGGAATATTACGCTGTAGAAATGCAGTCATGTAGTACCTGTACAAGAGATTTTTGAGGTTATTTGCATAATTTACAGTTGCAATTTAAATAAAATAAAATCAATAAAATAAACAGTTTATGTTTAGTGTATGTACAGGAAACTATTATTAGAACTGTTTTCGCCGATCCCATTTTTTTTTTTTTTTGCAGACTAATAATGTACGGCTATGAATTATGTAAAAGACTATTATTTAGCTTTCATCGCCTTGTTTTATATATTATATTACATTTGGCCTTAAAAAACCTTGGCTTCAGATATTTTTATTGAAGCATTTATAATAGCCTTAACTTTGAGGGATGGAAAAAATCTTTTTTCTTGAAGGGAAATACATTGAAATTAATTAGGATGTGGTTGAAACTATGTCCTTACAAAAACTTGGCAGTGACGCAATGCAAAAATGTTTTTTGGAAAAAAAAATGAATAAGAAGTGATAACAAGACATCTCATTAATCACATTCGTATTTTTTATTTAGTATTGCTGGAGAATATTCAACAGATAATCAACATACATGTATATATGTAACAAAAAAAAATATCAGATTTTTTTTAATAGTTTAAATATACAATTGCATTGCGTTAATCACATTACGTTTTACTCGTTCTCTTTTTATGCGATACATATCGGAAAATAGCAGGCCATTTATTACATCAACATTAGGAAAAAGTCAGTAAAAGTGTTTAAAAAATCAAATAGACAATTGTCATTATTTGATAAAGTAGATAACAGACAATAAAACTCTTCCTAAATAATGGGAAACTGTCAGAGTACAAAAAAAAAACATGGACTTTGACGCACTACAACATTATAAATAAGACTGTGGAACAGAAGAAAGCGCTTTATACAATATCTACAGATCGTCGCACGCCCCTGGACGGGTCCTCTCTCACCTCCTTTGACCACCTTTTTCAATAGCATCTAGTTGGGATTCCTTTTATTTGTTGCTATGAGTATTTGCACTTCATCAGATCTTTTTGTAGTTTGGAATTCTTGATGACAAACAAAATTCACTTTTAATTGCTGGGCAAGACCTAAATTGATGTATCTTGCTCTCGAAGCTGTTTTATTTCTATTGTGAGAAGTCTTTTTTCACATGTGAGCAAGTATTAGATGTGATGATTATACTGCAGTGCTGTCGGGGCTTAAGAGACATGGGGGAGATTTGCAGACGTATTCACTGTCAAATGATGGGATCTGTGAAAGGTGCATGGCAGAGAGGTGGATGTCAACGAGACGAGAATGTTCCAGTGCTCTTCTTTCGTTTTCGTCCACGTCCTTACTCTTAGTAAAGACACTGAAGAGACGTGTCCATTTCACTCGGATGCATCGGCAATTTGACTGGCAGAGCTCAGATGGAAGTCGCATCAGACAGACTCGAAAACTTTTAGCGCACAAGCTGTAAAGGATGAAATTGACACCAAAATTCAGATAGTAGAGGATCTGAAACAGTTGTTGCCAGAGGGCTTCGGTCGCGTCCGTTCGGTAGGTATGATCAACCAAGGATCGGACGAATGACTGGACTCGGATTGCGTGACTTGGTAAATTCATAACCAGAAAAACCATCACGACCACTAACAACATTTGTTTTAACTTGGACTGGGCACGATTTCCCTGGGCTTCATTTGACTGATTTCGGGTTGGAGATTCGCTATTGGATGGCTCTTCGGTCGCCATACTGTCAGTTCCTGCATCGGTGCGACTATTTCCGTTACCACACTCCCTAGAGCTACTTTGTCGTTTGTAAAGGCTAGAGACATCCACCAGGAGCCTGGTAATCATAAATATAATCATCAGGAAAGGGATCAAAAGAGTGAGAAAAGTGTCTAGTATAGACAGGATCATTGTTGTTTCGGCGTTCTGCATGAAGAGGCATTTCTGGCCACCTTTATACTTCACCACGTTTGCAGCCCACAGCGAGAAGGCATAGAAAATGCCCGCGAAGGTCGAAATACAGACGACTACGATCCTAGCGTACACCGGGCGGCAAACTTTCGCAGCTTTGGAGGGATGAAAAACAGATATGTACATTTCCATTGTAAATGCATTAACAAACCAAACAGAAGTGAAACTGAAAACAAACGTCAAATAGACAACGATCTGACACACTCCGTTCGTGTGAAAGAAATGCATGTCCATATTGTCAAACCAAACAATCCATACGCAGAGTAGAAAACCTGTATCAGAGAGCGCCAAGGCTGCTAGGTAGACGGATGTCGAAATTTTTTTGAGAGCAGTGATGAGAAACACCAGAAAGGAAATCACATTCCCTAGAACTCCGATGGCAATAATGACTGGTAGAATATAACGGTTAGCATTCTTCACAAATATCTGCAATCCGGTACGAATCGAATCAGAAGGAATTTGCGTCGAGTTAACTAAGGCTGTTAGTGATGACGTTGAATTACCATCTGCGAGAGAATACGCCATTTTAAACCCGCCTCAGAATCCGTGTTTTATCTTTAATTCAACTCGTCACTCAAACGTTAAGCATATCCCTGCACTAGAAATGAAATGTATGATATCAATAAATGTATCTCAACAATTCTAGTTCTAGTTTGCATTGAAAATTAGTTTCATGTATTTCATAAATCGACCCTAGGTTTAAAAGTATTCATTACATGTATCAGTAATCGTTATCGTCTGTAATATTATGGTTTCCAATTATTTTTCATGGCAAGGGTGACATTTTACAAGAAAATTTTTGTGCCCTGTACCTTAAATTACGAAAGCTGGGAAGGTTCATTCGTCATTTTAAGATTTACATTCAAAATGTCAAAACATTAATTAACCAATCAAAATTTAGGTTACAATATATGAAGAACCAATGGAAGACAACTCATTTAAATGTAAAATATTGCCTTTTTTAAAGGTAAGAGATTCGAGGTTACATAAATGTGGAATATCACAGACACCAAGCTTCTTACATACCTAAAACTAAGTTTTTAGTATTGTCTATGTACAGTCGAAGTTAGGGATGCAGTATACTCTCCGTTTCTTCTTAAAATTCTAAACGTATGTTTTCTAATTAACCAAGCAATTATCTACAGCTTTTTTTCCCGAAAGGCTAGAATAACTCGAGCATGATCTTTATAGACGTCAAATGTAATTCAAATTATCACTTCTAATCTTTCATTTCTCTGTTAATACATTAAAGATCGAGCTTCTGACAAGTTAGTAATTATATACATGGTAAGAGAAAATGATCGAATTTCGAATGGACCCTCTTGGCTTTCGTTTTTGGTGTATTACTGAACAATAATTATCTGACTAAATTGCCTAATTCTTATGTATGTAATTAATATATCTGGCTACATTTAATAGCTTAATTTTTAGAAATAAAATTTTCATTATTTCTACTCAGTAGGACTGTAGTTTTATGGGATATTAATAATGGTTCTGTGCATTAGAAACATCATCGAAAATTTTCTTTTCTTCGAAGTACGACCTTTACATATGATTTTGAAGAATTTCAAAGATTTTAGTTTGCTTCAGTATCATGAGATTACCTTTTAAATACAACCATAAAAACCCTTCAAAATCACACATTTAAATCCTCTGATTTAAGAAATTTCTATTTACGAAATATAAATTTAAATCAACCTACCTCTTTTAAAAATATGTACCACAGATAGAAGACCACTTGAGGCCGGCGGATTCTGGCTGGGTCTACTTAGATTCAATCTCCTACTGAAGCTCAAATCAGTTCTCCCAATGTGTTAATTGTGACTTCAAAGTTGCTTAACGAAGAACAGTTGTCATGGAAACGAAACCTCGTCTGTATGGATATCTGTCACGTCGCCCAATTATCACCAACTTCGAAACTAGGTCACAGTAGAAGATCCTTTGGATAAAGCAAAGTTTTTAGCACAAAATTACAGCTATTATGCCTGTATATACAGTTATTATACATTCCTATATAGTATATATGACAAAATGAGATCTGAGTGTAGGGTGTTTTTTCCCTTTATTGTTGCTTGTGAACGTATTTTCCGACAACCATATAAATTCTGTAGCAACATTGATTCATCAGCTCTCTAGGTTTTAATGTTTAACTTCAGACTTGCAAGGACTTTTTGGAGAAGACAAGAAAGTTATACTGGAGAGAACCTGAAAGTGCCGAAAAAGAAAATTGAAAGCTGAGCAAACCATTATGACTGGAGAACACTTAAATAGCAATAACTCATTATAATGGAGAGACAAAAAGATTTTATTGTGGCGTATAATTTTATTTCTCAGTTAAAAATACTTTCTCCCTGTTGAACATTAATTTTAAAAACATGTTTAAATGATTATATAAATCTGATTTGCTAGTCTTACACTTACATAATCTCCATACGGTTCTCATGACAACGTGATTTCTAATGAAGGGGAAATGAAAAATTACCTTTGAAATATCAAACTCTCCGGATTCTAACATCTTATTAAATCCTTGGTACTGCATTAATTAATTAGTATTCTTAAAAAAGAAAGGTTATTAGAACATATTTTAAGGGCATTCGTCGTAAACCAGAGTCTGTCATGTACTTAAAGGCAGAGATTTCTTACCGGGTGGTAAATTCCAGGTGAGGGAGGGGCTTATTTTGTACAGGTGTGAATGCCTTGAGGGCTAGCAGTCTACCTGTGGTCATCTGTCTCCTAATCCCTATACACAGGAAGTGATTTAATACACAGTAGAGTGCCAAAGAAATCAAACTTTACCTGTGTTGGGATTTTGAGAAGTTTTTAAATTAGAAATAAAAAGTAGTAAATAAAGTTTAATCTCAATAATTTTTATTAATTGTAATTGAATGTGTGTCAAAGCATCCCCACCCATTAAAAAAATTTTAATTATCAAAGTATTTGTTGAGCTTTAAAAAAAAGTTATACCAAATTTTGATAGATATTATCATAAAGAATATCATAATTATTTCAAATACTAAAGGTGTGTATATATATTATCAAGCTAAAAATTCCATAGTAATACAGCTTCTCTGAATTGTTTATACCATGTTTGGTAAATATCAAAGGATCAAATGTTAATTTGAAGTTCACGACGAGTGCCAAACAAGGTGTACAGGGTATACACAGGGACTAGTAAGTAAATGTCAATCAAGTTCTAGCACTCAGTGATGTACCTTAATGCACTTGATTGACAGGGGTACACAGACCAGGTATTTTTGAAGGCGGTGCTTAAAATCTCTGCCTTTAAGCTTATATACTAGTTAACTAATTACGTAATTTGTACACAAATTTGGAATTTTGTATGGTATACGTATAGCTACATAATTATTTTACGAGGGGTTATCAAAAAGTTCGTGGACTAGCGCCATAAAAATAAAACCGCTATGTACACCAATGAATTTTTAAACAGTTGATAAGCATCATCTTTTCTTACTGTAAAATAAACTATAAATCATAGGTTTTATCTTTTAGTAAATGTTTTTGTAAGGAATGGTATGTCCAGGCGGCGCAGCCTCGAAAAGAACGTATTTTATACCTGAGTGTAACTGAGAAAAACTTATTCTTATATGAGCATTTGACATCCGAAAATCCCATTATTTCACTCAAGTGATATGACACAATTTTTTCGTAAAAGTTGCAAGTTTTACCTCATTCAGTACATTTAATGAAATTTTATCGTAAATTTTATTTTGAATATCCAAACAAAAAGGGGGTTAAAAATAACGTCGAAAGGGGGTAGGGTATTATTTTACAACATTCTATAAGGTTAGGTTTCAGCCCCTGGAAAACCTGGCATAGCCTTAGAAAATGTTTAAACAGGCTACAGAAAAATAAAATTCATCTAAAGTACTTGTTTTTAAATCCAAAAGAGATTCAGCAAGAAAAGAAACACATGGTTAATATCGATTTGTAGCCAGGGTGTCCAAAGTCAGTCACGTCGAAAAGTGACGTTGATCATTGGTTGACATTGAACTCCGACAAGAAAATTATGTGGCAAAATCAAGAGAGGATCTTTTCCTATGTATTGATTTAATATTTACAATATTAATGCATTGAAATCAGGAGTTCATGACATTGTAAAGTCATATAAACTTGACGGATTTAGGTCTTTACTTTACTCCAGAGAATCTCATCAAGATAAGTGTATTGAGGCAGAAGGACCGTGCTTTGAGAATTAATGACGTTGTCGGACGTCATGAAACTAAACGGCGACAGCGCCGGGTGATCATATAATTCCCTTTTTATTTAATGATAATTTGGAAAATAATCAACATATCAAGCTGAAATTTTCAACTCTTCTTCAAATGTTGTTGTTTTGAGTTCCCTATAAATTTTGTAATCAACGACTACATAGTATTAATTTTATCGAATCAGTCCACGAACTTTTTGATAACCCCTCATATGTCGCGTTTTACCTACTTTTACTCAGTACAGGACTTCGGGATTTTTTACGAAACCTTTTGTTATTCCACACTTTGATACTCAAAAACCGTCAAGGTAGCTCAGTCGGTAGAGCGCTTGCTCCGTGATCGGAAGGTCGCGTGTTCGAATCGCGGCCGCGACTGACTTAAGTCGATAAAAAATAAGTAGTAACTGTTCCTTAGCCAAGCGCTTGGCACTTTGAAGTGAAACTTGCGGGTCCTTCGGATGAGACCTTAAAAGCTAGGCCTCCCGTCACGGTAGGCGTTGGCACGATAAAGAACCCTCACTGCTCAATGGCCCTGAGTGCCAAGTAAAGGTAAAAATTTGAAGCCCTTCCACGGTATATGGTGACGTCTCTATATGAATGAAAAATTCTCGGACAGGACGTAAAACAACATACAATAAATCAATCGATACACAAAATGTCTGGCCTAGCTTATAAAGTCACTTTCTAATTCTCTAATTCTGGATGCAGCCATTCTGTAGTACACCGGGAAAGTTTATAATAAGCTATCTGTTTATTTATGCAAAAATTGTTTTGACGGTTATATAATTTTCCAAAGGATAATTCGATTGCACAAAATCTCTTCGTACCTAGAACAAAATTTGTCAGGTATGGCTTTTTAACTTTGCATGTAATTTTATAAAAGAATTAGTCATTTATTCCTCTCATTTATCCGAGAAACAATGAACCTTAACCAGATCCAAAAATGCCGCTTTGGAGACAAAATTCTAATTCATCTAATTTAGTGCCGGCCATTTTTTAAGAGGGCTGGTAAAGCTACGGTCGGTTATTTTAAATAAATGCGTTTTCAAACTTAACTTTGACAAAAATGTTACTTTCTAAATTAAGTAGTCAAACAGTCAAATTACATGTACAGATCTCTGCTAAAAGTTTCATTTTTCTCTATATATTTTATCGAAACCACATATAGTTAAATCGCTAGCAAATGGTCAATTTTTGTCCAATTTCATCATTCATTTCAGTACTTAAACCAGAAAACATGTAGTTATCTTTGTCTAAATGATCATTACATATTTAGTTTCTTGAAAAAAAGATAGTT